CCGGACATGGTCCTGGACAACCAGCTCTAGGTGGCCATGCTTGCGCAGGGAGGGTGGCCTCCAGAGGTCCCTTCCAACCTCAGCCATTCTGTGATTCTGTGATATGAAAGATTTATTATAATGCTCAGTTGTGATGATAATCTTTGAAAAGAGTCATCAGTAAATTAATTATACACATTACAAAGATTGAAGTACGTACTTGTTCACACATTTTCTAGCCACATGGTATGCCATGAATACCAGCCTCATTAGGAATCTATGCAGTATCCTAGAACTGCTCCTGCTCCAGCTTTGGAGCATAAAATACGTGTTTAAAGATGATTGTGGTCAAAATGTTAACATCTTTTCTGTGCAGAAAAAGAAGAGGCATATAAATTCATGCCAAAGAAATACATTTTATACTTGATACCAAAGACAGATGTACTTTCAATGGCAGAACTTAGCTGGAATCTTGCCTGCCCTTCAGGCAGGCTTGTAACTTGGTAAGAAGGCCAGTGTACTGAATGTGGGTCTCTCCCTCACCGATGATAGTGTCAGTAGTAAGTAACTAAATACCTTTTAAAAATTATTTATAAAGACTTTTAAGTGTATTTATGCACAGATGCCTTTGCAAAGCTCACTGCTTTTCACAGTTTCTAGAGGACAGTTACTGTAGCTGTGTGCAGAGACACTGGCTGTATTTTTGAGTTTCCAAATAACCTAAATCTGATCTAAAGGGCTAAATGTGTTGCCTCACCACTAACGAGGCCAGATATACTCAGAGGTATCTTTTATAAATCATTGAAGTTACAACGTTGGTTCTTTCAGCAGAACCAGCTGAACAGTGTTGAAATTAATTCTGAGGGACATATTATGAAAGGGGCACATTTATTCCACTGTGTATGCAATGTTTGCACATACTATACATTGTCATGACAAATGCTACTTTCTATTTTGTCAAAGGTTTAGATAAACACTGCCTAACGCAAACATGTGTGGGCCTGCCGAACACCTCCTTTGAGAAGTCTGGCAGGCAACAACCTTCTGCAGGGAGACTAAACAAAGCTGCTTAAAAACCAGTCTAGTTTTCCAGGCGTGAAGTTAAATATTTGCTATGAATGTTAACTTCCCACCATGCATCTGCCCATCTTCATGTATTCTTCCCCTGAGGGATCTTTTGTTCTCCCAAGTGACAACTGAAATAAAGGTTTCGAAGTCAGATTCTAACAGTTTTGCCAGATGTGAAAACAACAATGCGGCAAATTACAGCTGTGAGAAACTAGCCACAGGGTTGTCCGTGCTAGAGAGCTCAAAGACCGTCAAACCAAGGCTCCTGGTGGCCTTTTTCTCAGGAACCACTTGTCAGAGGGATGTGTGCCGAATTATCTGAGTCATATGGGAGCCGTGCTCAGGCTTCTTTTCCTTGGAAGGGAGTGCTGCTCATTTCCTCTCATCACCTGAGTTAAGAACCTGCCCCAAGTCAGAGAAGAGAGGCACCCATGCAGGTACTGAGATCTGGAAAGGACTGCTGTGAAAATGCTGCTTTGCCCTTCCCTCTCCATGTGTGTGGAAAAGGCAGCATGGGAGCAAGCTGCAGCTGCTCAGAAAAAAATCTGCAGCAGGTCTCATTTCAGAAGCAGAGGAATTTCCCTTGCTCTTGGTGACACAGTGGAAAGACTTCATTTTTTGTGGCATTACTATCAATCAAAGCTATTTCTGTGTAATCACCCAGGTGGTTACCCAGAATCACCACCCAGCTCAGGTGTGGTCTCTCACATCTGGCCAGCGCAAGCTTGGAATCTGATGACGGAGAAGCTCATGGAAGCCCATTATTGATCTGACATTTAATGGAGGCTTCTCGTCCAAGCCTTACTGCTCCTTGGTTCCCAAAACATGAGAAGGGCGTTCACAGCATGAGTGAATGGGAAAGCAGGATCATGGTCCTTGCTATTCAAGCACAGGCTGTTGTGACTATTAATTAACCAGTGACTCTCTTTGTTCATCTCAATTGCCTTTACTCTTCATAAAACTAGCAGATGATTCAGCAGTTCTCAAAATTTGTTCTCACTTTCCTCCCTCCCCCTCCACCTACACACCTACGGGGAGCGTATCTTGTAGGGAGGTATCTTGCTAGAACTGCTGGCAGCACAAAGTAATGGTGTCAGCAGGGGACAGAAAGTTGGGGTGGGGAATCTGGGGGACAGACACAAAAGGGGCTGGGGGAAGAGGAGAGGAGAGGCAGGATGCAGGCAGTGCACAGACCACTCAGAGGCTCTCAGAGCTGCCCCATTACGTCACAGAGGAGGCCTCTTAAACATGATGTAACCACTGTGAACAGCTGCACTTTGACTCAGCAGCTCCCAGGGGCCTGGGGCTCTTTCTCATCCTGGTCCTTCTCCACGCTGTCTGCCTACATCCCCTGGCAGAGCCCTTCGTCACTGCCCCACTTCACACTCTGTCCCCCTCACAGCCCCAGCCACCAGCCCCATCCTGATCCCAGTAGCTGCAGGATAGAGAGGACCGAATTCCTCTTATTGCTACTATAAAAGCATGATTAATGCAAGTGACTGAAGGTTTATCGTGCCACTGACATTTGGACTGAGGATAGTTAAAGAAGAATAAGGAAGCTATATTGTGTGGTCCTGCTATAAACATTCTGTGTCGGAATAAACTTCCCTGCATAGGTCAAGACCACTATTACATCCACCCACCACTGAATCGTCAGCAGTGTCACTGAAAGTGTCAGTGTCGCGGAAGATCCTTACTGTCAAAAACCTTTTTATTGTTTTGCTTGCCTTTTGGAGGACTGTAAATTCTGTTAATAAAGTAACTGTGCTCACAGAATATATCGGGATTCCCTTAAGGCACTTGACTTGGTACCAAATGAGATGGACTTAAGAGAGAATGAGCTGGATTTACAAACTGGTTTACAGACCAGTCTCCAAGGGTTGCCACTGATGGTTGTTAACGTGGTATCAATGAGCAGAGTCCCAAAGGTCTCAGCTCATGGGCCAAAACTGTTTAATAGTTTTATAGTTGTGACAATTATACAAGATCTGTAGTTAAGTCTGTTGCTGATAAAAAAGTTTGTTTTGCTAGCAGATAATGAAGATGGGTTACCATAAGAGTAATTTAAATTGCTTGATTAGAAGACACTAGTCCAGAAGTATTTTAATACAGTTAAATACTCAAGGTGATACTGGTTTGGAGGTAACAATGACGCAAATCGTATTTATGGATCAAAGGCCTGAATTCTGGCAAGGACCTAACAGTAACAGTGGATAACCACCCCAGCATAAACCCTCAAACAATGCTGTACATAAAGAGATAAGGGAATCTTTGAACGTACAAGAGGAGAGTATTGCACGAGGCAAGGAAGTGACCCCATCCTTGTCCCATACATAAGAATGCTGTAGACTCGTGTCTGGCAGCCTCAACATCCAGCAGTCCATGCACCATACCCAACACAACTTAAACAAGATCGTGTGGCGTTTCCCGCCCCCAGGCGTCGCGCCTCCTCGGCACCCCCCCCAGGCCTGAGCACCCCTCTCGTTCCCGTTCCTCCCCCCCGAGCCTGGTAAGTGCTGCTCATCTGCAGTGCCCTCCCCTGCGGGCTCCGGTCCTCCTCCAGCCCACCTGCTGGTGGTCTACCGCTCACCAGCAAACGCCGGCTCCCAAATGAAGCTGTTGAGTAGATGGGAGCTTGGGAATGGGAAAAAAAAATTGTGAAGGGACGGCACCAAGGGCACTGTCTCACAGCGGCATGGGGGAGGGAGGGCAGAGCAGCCCCACGATGCCAGCAGATGAAATTTGGAGAGACAGGCCCCCAAGCCCCCCTAATTCCTTAAACCTAAATGTGTAAGAAGATGGCAATTTCATGTCACTTTTTACACGAATATATTCACACAGCATGAAAGGCTCAGCGATATTCAGGGCATGCTTCAATGCGCCTGTCACACACAGAGGGCCCAAGACCACGGCCAGGGCCTGGGACCAGGGGCACACCTCGTACCCTTCAGAAGATCTGAGCATTTTGGGAAGGTATCCCAGGACTTCCCGTACAACTCCTGGGCGGGACCTGCGGCCCCCAAGAGAAGGGAGGGGAGCCCAGACCACGCCCGGCTGTTCCCTCAGGGGCGAGGCCGCCGGAGGAG